ATTCGGAGGAAGTCAATTATTTTCAAAAATAGCAATATTCAGCACAAGAATGAAATTATTTTCAAAATTAGTAAAATTCAATTATTTTCTAAAATATAATTAAATTCATTGCAAAATTTTAATTACTTTCAAAATTTTGTTCTTAATTCAATAATTTTTATATATCTATTATTTTAATAAAATTTCCCAAAAGAATTTAATGATTTAAAAAATTATTTTGACAAAGTTCTACACGAAAATGCAATTATTTTCTAAAAATAATGAAAATTTCACAGGAATTCAATTATTAAAGATAGAATTTGCATAAATTTGTAAAGAAAAATCAATTGCTTGCAACTTTTTCATAAAATTCTTCGCAATAATTCAATTATTTTCATAAATAATAAAACTCGTTGCAGAATTTCAATTATTTTTAATACAAATTCAATCTACTTCCTCGAAAAATGTAATATATTCTTAAAAATGTTATTAATCGAAATTTTAAGTTAAATTAAATTGTAAACAAATGGATTTGAAAATTCTCAAAGAACTTTATCAAAAATTATATTAAAAATAATTAATTTAAAAAAGAATTTTATTTAGAAATTGTAGAAAATAATACTTGAATTAAAATGATGAAAATAATTTTGAAGAAGTTAAATTAAAACTATTCTTATATATTATAATATAAAATAATAATTTTATTACTCGCTCATCTTTAATTATTAGAAGACATAAAGAAATCGATAACTTCGAGGCGAAGACTCGGAGTTATCGATATCTTCATGTTTTATAATAATATTCTTATTAGTTATTAATTATTTATCAAAGTATTTTTAGATAATTTGTTTTTTTTATTTAAATTTATCTTTTAAAATTTGAATTTCCCGCCATTGTAACTCTGAATGCGTCCGTCCAGATGGCATGAAAGCTCTCTCACAAGTGACAAGTAGTAGACGGAGTATAAGTATCAGTGATGAATTAAGATTGTTGTGTAAATAAACTAAAAGTAGATTAATGCCCATTTTATTATTTTTTATTATTATTATTATTATTATTATTATTATTATTATTATTATTATTATTATTATTATTATTATTTTTATTATTTATAGAATTATTCACAGAAAAAACGATAATTTAATTTTAAGTAGGCGTTTCTTAAAATTAGTTTATCGTTTTTTCTGTGTTATTATTATCGTTATTATTATTATCACCATTGTTATTATTATGGTTAAGAATACCAATAAGCTTTATATTTCTATCTAAAATTTTTGTTCCCTTTTTCTTTTCGAGGGGGAAATAAGGGATAAAAATGCAAATTTTCCGCAATCGTGCATTTCTCATTGGACACTTGAAAAGAGTAAGAGAAAACGATCGATCTAGATTGAAACCAAGGTTCGCCTTAGGGAACGATCCTCGATTCGTCTACTTATCGGGAGACTTCCTGCATCTTCGGGAGCATTCAACTCCATAAAAGACCTGCGAGAATAAGACGGCAATTTTGCTTATATACTAGTGGGGCAAGTCTAATCTTTAGATTCCGATACTAATGATTCGACATTACCTTCGTTGAGTTTTTTTCCTTTTTTTCTTTCTTTATTTTATTTTTTATATCGCAAATCGGATGTAAACATATACGTATGGGAGGCCCTCGGATATACCATCTCCTTCTCTTTATATGTATACTAAGCAAACTCGTTTATTTAACAGAGAGACCACGAAGAATTGAATTAAGTATATACCAAGAACTCGAGTTTCTTTTCATAAGATAAGTACTGTAAATTTGATCACGATGTGACTTGGGCCCGATAAAGAATTATATATTTAATTCTAATCGTGTAATGATAATTTATTTTGATCCAGTTTTATTGAATTTATTTATTATCTTTGATTAATCGTATAGGGAATTTTTTATCGGATTTTCCTATTATTTTCTGAAACAATAGGAATAATTTCTATAATTAATTGAGATTTTAATCACTCAAGGGATTATTTTCAACCGAGGATTGATCCATTTCTTATTATTTTTTTCATTTATTCATTTATTATTATCTTTATTTACTAATTATTTATTTACTTATTATTATTTCTATTACTATTTAAATTTATTAACTTATTTTATTAAAAAAAACTGAACCTGATAGAAAATCGACAGTTCGGTGGTATATATACCCCGTTGCGTCTATTCCGCTTGTGAGAGAATTTTACGCCATCTGGACGGACACTTTCGCAATTACTAAAGGCGCGAAATTCAAATTTAAGGAAACAAGAAAGTAAATCTGACTAAAAACTAAGAAAAGAGTAAAAGTAATTGTTGTAATTAGATGAACCGTTGTTTAATTGTTGTTTAATTAATTAATTAATATAAATATATAATATTAATAAAAAAATTAATTTTCTATAAAATTAATTAAACCGTAAAAGTAATGATTGTAATAAATACCAAGTTAGAATCTAGAAAAAAAATAAAATAAATAAGTAAAAATAAACAAATAAATAAAGTAAAAGTAACTATTAGAATAAATAACAAGTTGAAATCTAGAAAAGAGTGAAAGTAATTATTCAAAATAAATACCAAGTTTAAAAAAAAATTTCATTTCCATGATGAAAAAATAAAAAAAAATTGTCAAAAAAGAGACGACAAGGGGATAATTAAATTATCACCGAAATCTTCAAGGTCCTCAATTCTCTGCACTGCAAATTTTATAAGCATTTCATGAATGTGGAAGGCTTACGAACGTGACGTTGAACATTTTTTTTTTTTCGTAAAGTGACAGAAAACCTGCTTGTCACATATTTGTTGGAACATTAAACTTAACGGTATTCACTTAAATACCTAACTTGTAACTGTCTCTTTATTGTGGAAAAAAAATTATTTATATACATAAACACTCGGAAACGATGAAGGAATATTTCTGGAATATCAAAATGACAATTGTGTTCATGTCGTAAATTCGCATTTTGCGAAATGATTTATTACTCAATATGCGCGGCTCCACGAGATATGTGAAAAGCTTGCATTTAACTTCTCATGTAATTTTATTGCCGCATTGCAAAATAATGTGACGCGCTTGAATTTTCTATTTCTGATTTTACGCGAATGATGTTGTATTTTGTATATAGTTATCAAAGAATTGTTAAACTAAATAATTAATAACTATTAATTAACTATTAAAAAAATAGTTATTAATTATTTATAGTTGTAGTTTTTTACTTTTATTTTTACTTATTAATTATTTAGCAAAGAATTTAGGACTGTGATTTAAAGAAGTCTTTTTAGAAAATTTGATTTTTTGTTAAATTTGAATTTCGCGCCATTTTGACTTTAAAAGTGTCCGTCCAGATGGCATGAAAACTCTCTCACAAGTGATATGTTATAGACGAAGTATAAATATTAATGAACAATTAACATTGTATTTTGTAAAGTTTTATAAATGATAAATAAAAATAATTATTATTCTTATTAAAATAAAAATAATTATTATTCTTATTAAAATAAAAATAATTATTATTCTTATCAAAATAAAAATAATTATTATTCTTATCAAAATAAAAACAATAATATTTAAAATAAAATTAAAAAATTAATTATTTATCAAACAATTCAGAAGTATTTTTAGATAATTTATTCTTTAACAAAATTTATCTTTGTTAAATTTGAATTTCGCGCCATTTTAACTCTAAAAGTGTCCGTCCAGATGGCATGAAAACTCTCTCACAAGTGACAAGTAGTAGACGAAGTATAAGTATCAGTGATCAACTAACATGATGTTAAACTAAAAATTAAATTATGCACATTCTTTATTAGATATTTTTATTATTTTTTTGTTAGTATTCTTAGTTTTACAATTTTTTTAAATCTTTTTTCAGTTTCATTATCTTTTTATTTATCATCTTATTTTATCTTTGTCTGTTATTAAATTATATTTTTCTGTTTTTAAATTGAAATTAAATTAATAAATTTTGTTTATTTCGGTTGTAAATTCTCTTTATGATTAGAATCTAGGGTGAATGTTGGTTGAGGATTGAAATTCAAGGTTTAAGTTTTTCCTACATCGTCAAACTTGGAACAATATTTAGCCAATTGACAGCTCTCTTGCAATTTCCAACGGGGAAGTTACGTACAAATGCATTTTTATTTCAAAAAACCGATGTTTAACGTCGATAAAGTCAGAGCAAGCGCCTTTATTCTTTATGAGGCCATTCTTTCTCGAATTTACTATGGGATCATTGCGCATTTGGTTCCCTATGGTGTGTATATATCCATTAACCAAGAACGTGCGCGTAGTCTTCCGCAATACTCAGCAATACTTCACTTTTCATACTTTACGACCCTTTTGCAAATTTATGTCTGTCAAAATATTTAATAAATTGTCATCTAATTAATAGAATACTTACTAAAATTAATATATATTTAAAAAATTTATTCTAAACAAGAAATTTAAAAAAAATAGTTTTAAATTCTTTACTTTTAATTTAATTAATATTACATTAATTAAATTATCATGTCAAGTAATTATTTATTTAATTTATTTAATTTTTTAATTACTTTTAATAATAATAATAGCTAAAAAAAGTTAGTCCCCTATTTTTTCATAGTTTTAATTAATTTTTCAATTAAATAAATAAATTTTTTTTAAATAAATAATTTAGAATAAAAAGTTTTTTTAATATTGCGTCAGTATTAATTAGTTGACAATTGTTCTTTTTTTTTTTTGTTTTTAAACGTCGGAAAACGAAGGAGTTAAGAATGTACCGTTTGAAGATTCAACGAAGGGGATTCCCTGGGCTTCGTTATAACCCACAGGCCGGGAGAGATACGAAAGACTGGCATTCGAGTCCCTTTGTGTCCAATAGGACGTGACTGCTTTATAGATCTTTTACAAATCTCTTTAATGGACGTCAAGTGAAAAGTATTTTAATTAATCATTTGACCGTTAACGTTCGGGAATTGCAATAAGGAAGGTATCAAAATAAAGTGCTAATCATCATTTTTTCTCTCTTTTTTTTTGTTGCAGCGAGTCGGACATGGCTCCAAATGCCGAGGAGGAGCTGCTTGTCGTCAAACCCAGAGGCCTGCAATCGGAGAAGGTGAGAAATTTATTTTTATGCAAAAAAATTATAAATTAATTTTAAAAAAAAATTTTAAAAATTGTTTTTTTATTTTTTGTTTTTATTTATTAATGTTTTTATTTTGTTATTATTTCTGTTTTTACTATTTTTTTTCGATTAATTGTATTTTGTTGCTAAACATCCGTGTGAGAATTTGAATATCTTGCCTCATGGTTGACAATCAACAAAGGAACTGTATCAGCGGAAGTCATGTGTATATATTCCCTCTGATAAAGAATGGTCAGGGTCGGAGAGCAGGTCCGTTAAACCAAAGAATAATTAAACTCGTTTACCGTGTCGATCGCAAACTATCGCTTGCAAACTTCCGTTCTATGTGTGGCAACACACATCGTTTGCGATTGAAGCTATTTACTAATTTACTGTTCTCTCTCTAAAGATAAGGAAATTAACGGCATCTTTTTTTAAAACAAAACCAAGAAATTCAACAATTCGATATGTATTTACAAATCAGTTAATTGTCAGTTAATTATTTTATTTTTTTTAAATTATTTTTTCACTTTTTTATCATTATTTCAATTTTTTATTATTATTTAATTTTTTCATTATTATTTCAATATTGTTTTACAGTTATTTTCTTGTTATTTTATTTTTTTATTAGTTATTCTTTCATATTTCTTTATAAGTTGCTATTAATTTGCTTTTTTGTTTTATTAAATTTGAATTTCGCGCCATAGTAATTCCGAAAGTGTCCGTCCAGATAGCGCAAAACTCTCTCTCAAGCGGAATATAGATGCGACGGGATATAAATACAACCGAACTGTCGATTTTCTACCAGGTTCAGTTTTTTTATTAAAATAAGTTAATAAATTTGAATAGTAATAAAAATAGTAATAAATAAATGAATAATAAGTAAATAAAAATAATAATAAATTAAAAATTTCTAATAAATCGTAAAGTGATTTTAAAAAATTAGCAAAAAAGTAGATTTCAAACTAAAAAAAAGTAGTAATTTTCCAAAGATTATAGTAAAATTTTTGAGAATAATTAAATGTCTGTGTGCTATTTTATAACATTTTATTGAAAATAATTAAATTCATCAAAAGCATTTCATTATTTATGAAAATAATTAAATGCTTGCGATAGATTTTAATAGAATTTTTTAAATGAATTGGATTTCAAAGAGGTAATTTATTTCTTTTGAAAATAATTGAATTCTTGTGATGAATATTGTTATTTATAAAAATAATTGAATTTTGCAAAGAATTTTATTAGAATTTTTTAAAATAATTGAATTTTCAGGAATAATTTTGTTAGTTATTGACATAATTGAATTCTTTCGAAGAATTATTTATGTAAATAATTGAATTCTTGGGAAGAATTTTTTATTAAAATCTAGAAGAATAATTGAATTATTTCAAAAAAATATAATTAAAATTGTATTTAAAACAATTGAATTTTTTTGAACAATTTTATTAAAATATTCAAAAATAACTGAATCCTTTTAAAAATTTTTATATTTATGTAAATAATTGAATTTTTCCAAAGAATTTAAAAGAACATTTTTGTAAATAATTGATTTTTTCGAGGAATTGAAATTAAATTTGTGAGAATAATTACATTTTTTGAGCAATTCCTGTAAAATTGTATTAAAAATAATTGAAATCCTGCTGTGAATTTTATTATTTATAAAAACAATTGAATTCTTTTGAACAATTTTATTAAAATTTTCAAAAATAATTGAATTCCTGAGTAAAATTTAATTATTTATGAAAATAATTGAATTCTTGCGAACGATTTTATTAGAATTTTTTTACATAATTGAATTTCTCTGGAAAATTCTTATATTTTTTCAAATAATTAAATTCTTGCAAAGAATTTTAAAAAACATTTTCGTTAATAATTCATTTGTTCGAGGAATTAAAATAAAATTTTTACGAATTATTAAATTTTTTTAGCAATTCCTGTAAAATAGTATTAAAAATAATTGAAATCCTGCGATGAATTTTATTATTTATGAAAATAATTGAATAGTGCCTAAGAATTTTATTAGAATTTTCAAAAATAATTGAATTCCTGAGAAGAATTTTATTATTTATGAAAATAATTGAATTATTGGGAAAAATTTTATTGAAATATTTAAAGAGAATTGAATTTCTGCAAAAAATTTTGATATTTAATTGCATAAAAAGTTTGTTAAATAATTGATTTTTTCGAAATTTTTTTGAAAATGCTATTCTAAATTAATTGAATTTGTGTGGAAATTTTATTATTTATGAAAATAATTTAATTTTGAATGAATTTTATCTTTTTTTGTTTTTAAATAATTGAATTCTTTTGCGATATTTTATGAAAATACTAGATAGTGAAAATAATTGAATCGTTTTAAAGAATTTGATTATATTTTTGAGAATAATTTTTTAATTTACAGTATTAGCGAATTTAAAGTAGTGAAAATTCTAAAAAAAACAGAAATAGTAGCTTTTAGTGGCTGAAATCCAAAAAAATTAGCTGTAAATAGTAGGTTTAAAAAAATAAGAACCAAAAAAATAAAAAATAAATTAAAATTTAAATTAAAAATAAACAGAAATAAAATGTATATTTTGTGTCACTTTACGATTTACTAGAAAAGAAAAAAAATTCACTTGGAAAAATAATAATAAATAAAAAATTTCTAGTAAATCGTAAAGTGACACAAAATATAAATTTTGTGTCACTTTGCGATTTACTAGAAATTTTATATTTATTATTATTTTTCATTCTCTAAGTGATTCGTGTATGGAAATGCGTGTCTTCATACCCGGCATTGAAATCTCTTTTGGAATTAAAGTCGCGAGCTGAAATGTTAAATACTTTCTTCGCATAGAATTTCCGAGAACATTTTTATTCAATTAATACGGAATTTGAAACACTTTTATTAGTCATTTTATACAAATGGAGAAAACATATGTGATGTTATAATTTTCTTCTGACACAATTTTTCATCGTGTATATATCGTAAAATAAAATGCAAGTGGAAAAATAAAAATGGTCAGTGCGCGATGCGATGGTCAGGATCTATGAACTAGTAACCACGTTAATTAGAATAGAACATTTTCACTTTATACCTCACATGAGAAAATAGACCAGAATATTATATAATTCTATACTGTACCGAGAGGATATTTTCAACTTTTCGTGAATAAATTTAAATACGAAATAATACGTAAATAATTAAATAAATTATTTACTATCGGAAAAAGTAGTTTCAATTTTAGTAAATAAAGAAGTAAATAAAATTAATAAAATTAATAATATTAAAAATAGTCAAATTAAAAAAAATATTAAGAAATAAAATTTAGAAATTAGAAAAAAATTGAGATTTAATTGAAAAATTTAAATTTATAAACTTGTTTATAAAATATGTATAAAAATTATTTGATAAACTTATCCAACAAAAAATAAATATAAGGTAAAGGTCCCAATTATGGGACAATTTACAATTTTGTCCCTATTATGAGACAGTATTACAAAAAATAAAATAAATGCAATTAAAATTGGTCATAAGAAATTTCTACTTATTTCAAAAAATTTTACACGTTAAAAGAATAATTATTTGTGTATAGCATTTAATTTAATAAGAAATGTTTATTTGCATTTTAGCTTTTAAATTAAGGTAAGCCAAGTTTTTCGTCAGACTACCGTCCCACATTAGGTGCACTTATTATTTGCTATCCCTATTATGAGACACACAGGAAATATACAGCAAACATAACCTCAAATATTTTCAGTTTTTTCGCATTAATTTTCTACCAAAAAAATTAGTTTTATAATTATTTTTTAAACCAGAATTTGTTTATTGTATTTTATTCTTTATAATTAATATTCAAATTATTAGGATAAGTCAATAGAATTCTAATTACTTATTGAATTAAATAAATGTCTCATAATAGGAACATTCATTATGGGACACCCGTACATACAGAAATCATAGTCCCATAATTAGTGCAGTGCAGAGTTTCATAATTTAATTAATATTATTTTTATTTCATGAAAAATAACCATTTTAGGGTCTAAATATTATTCATAACATATCAATCTTTCAATCTATACCCTAATTATTCATATTAACACTCCCGATTCCAAGAAATTTATCATAGAAATTTAGTTTAGCTTAAACAGCGTCCCATAATTGGTACTTTTACCTTACAAGGTTATTCAGTGATTCGCGTCTTTAAACCTAAATCTCCAAGAAAGGACGTTCAGATTTCCTCCACTCTTTCAAGGATGTTCGTTTATACTTATTATATACATTTTTTTACATCAAAAATAATTGCTTCGCACTTGTTGAGTCGTTTTAAGGTTTCTTTTTACATATTTGAAATTTTTCATATGTATACGTGGAAAATAAACATAGCACTGTAATCAAAATTATTTATTTTATTTATATTACAATAAACTGTAATCAAAATTATTTTTTATTTTTTTATTTTTTTTATATGTAAAATAGAGATGAGAATGTACAACATTCATAAATAATCAACATAAATATATGGAAAATAATATATATATACAATAAAAGGTATAAATAAAGTGTAAAGAAAAAAAGAATATTATCTCTCTCTCTCTCTCTTTCTCTCTGAAATGTGCATTACCGTAAACAATTTTCTTTTTGTGTGTGAGAAAATACATCACTCTGGGAGAATTTTTGCGCATAGAAAATACATTTACAAGGTGGAATTTAAAAATTTTGTCGTGCATCTCTTTATAAAAGAAAATCACAAAACCACAGAACTTTTTAAATGTGGTTTTCAATGTAAATGTAGGTATATATAAGAATGGAGTCTTTCAGGGGAGATTTTTTTTTCTTTTTTTGTCAGAGATAATCATGTTTTCTTTGGGTACAGACAGTATTTCGATAATAATTCCAAGCGACAATTTTTATTTTCTTCCTTTTTATTTTATTTCTGTTTATTTTTAATTTAATATTTTATTTATTTTTTGTTTTTTTTTTTCGCTGATACTAGAAATTAAACAACTAT